TTGCGGAACAGTATGCATTCAAGCGGTTATATACGTCAGAGGCGGCAATGCGGCACAGCATGCATTCAGGCGTCTGACACTTCTGCCATCTAGCGAGGAAAAAGGAATGTTCAGCTAAGATGCCAGCCGCATTTACCACACTCGGTAACCGGCATGACAAGCTTAAGTGGTTCGGGAATTGATATCGAGAAAGTGGTGCACATGAATCGCGATTGTTTCTAAAAATAGAAAATAGAAAATGACCAGGTGGACAAGGTCACGCGCTGTTTGAAGAATTGAAAATGCAGATGAAGTTGTTAACGCTGCTTCAGGAATTAGGAATTTGACGGTTACGGTTAATAATTGTGCTGTCAATTTCAATAGAGGCGCATACATTACTCGGATTGACGGATTTACACACATATATACAGTTCGTTACATTGATAATTGTTCTATCACTGCATCGGAACTGTTGTTTGTGCTTGGTTTGTTAGAAGACTGGGACGAGACCAGGATAGACACGGTGAGTGAGATGCCGCCGCAGTGTACCATCGCTGTCGAAGCGGCCGATTCTTTCAGCGTATATTATTTTCCGAAAAATAGGTAGGCAATCAATGTTAGTTTCACAAAAAGTCATCTTAAGTTAAAGTCATTATGGTCTGCGCAATGGATTATAAATTTCAGTACGATAACTGATTGCGGTGTCCTAAAAAACTGCGCATCTGAGACAAACGTTGGTTGTTTACAGCTTTGATTCATGTTGCTAGGTGGTTGCTAGGGAGCTAGAGACACCAAGAAAGATCATAATCTAAGCAACATTGCAGCATTTACGGTGTTGTGCAGCGTGTATACCGCATTGCTAGTGAGGGCCGATAAGAATAAGAAAAAGAACGACTTTTGATAAGATTGGTATCGGTTACAAATTCGATACCAGGGCTTTTCTTATCTTTGTGCCAATGTGCCATATTCGCACTGATTCTTTGGGTCTTAGGTTGTTTATTTCTTGCGTGATTGCTGTATGGTTGTAGTGTTTTCCTAGAATCAATCATCACAAACATGAAAAACATATATTTCGCGATTAATGTGTCATATGGAATCAACAAGGTACTAGTCTCGATGCCGAGCCTTTGCAGAGACATTTTCTTTCGTTCATTTTACAAAATTTTAGAGATAGAATTTGCCCAAACTCTATTCATCGATTTATACTACAAATGCCCACCGTGATCCTCTTAAATGGCTTCATCGCATATCGATGGAGATGTAAAACGGCAAAACCTACCGCTTAACCCGCGCCCCGCTAGGGGGGGGGGGCGGCAGAATCTGCTCCCCTCCCGTTTTTCGCCAATAACTTCTAAACGCGTTATGCCAGCGACATCAAACTTTTAGTACCTTATCATATATCAATTTGACACGTTCCCTGAAAATTTGAGCGAAATCTATCAGAATTTTTTTGAGAAATTGACGTTTTAGTGACGTCATGAGTTGCTTGCCTCCCTGCATTGAATAAACACATGAACTAATAAAGTGTTTGACAAATGCTGCTCAGCTCATGTTGCTAGGTGGTTGCTAGGGAGCTAGAGACACCAAGAAAGATCATAATCTAAGCAACATTGCAGCATTTACGGTGTTGTGCAGCGTATATACCGCATTGCTAGTGAGGGCCGATAAGAGAAAAAGAACGACTTTTGATAAGATTGGTATCGGTTACAAATTCGATTATCTTTGTGCCATATTCGCACTGATTCTTTAACATGGAAAGTCAATGGGAGCATCTTTATTCCTATAAAACTTTTATCGTTAGTAAGATATATAGGTGAAAAGTTAATATAATATACAATTTTTGATGCTCTTTCCACTGATGCATAGAACGTCACTGCACGATGTGCCGTTTTTAAGAAAAGCTGTAAAAAAATCAGGGCTCGACTGTGACTTGAACCCAACCACATTAGAGTATACGAACAGGTGACGGGGATACCTCCCGTGTGCGGATGCGACACTGATTATTGCTAAATATTAGCAGTCGGCCGCCGTGGGGGCGCCTTGCAAAGCTTCTATCTCCACAACTGCTTGACCGATTCACTCGCGGTCTTTTGTGTGGGATAGCTTCTTCCTTTCTTACACGTAGTGTGCTATTCTCGATGCGTATGGGTGACCCTTAATGCACGTGCCACGTGCAAAACGAAGAGAAGTCAGTTCAGTAACAAGTCTAATAACTCTGTAGTTAGTTTGCCGATTGCGCAGCTACTTGGCATGAATGTAGGCACCCGCCGCGCAATGCATTTCCATGTGTTACGGTTGGGGTGCCGCTGCACGTGCGCACGGGCAGGGTGACGCTTCCAGATCTCGAGAACGGCTGGGCCGATTGTGATCAAACTTGGCACACCGCTAGAGGCTGGTTAGTGTGGTGCCGTGCACAAGTCAGATGGGACCCGTTATGCACGTGCGCACGTGCAGGATGACGCTTCCAGAGAACGCTTGTACCGATTGTGTTCAAATTTGGCATACTGCTTGATACCGATCAGTAGGGCGCCGTGCACCAGTCATTTATATGTATTTCCATGTGCCACGGCTGGGGTGCAGCTGCACGTGCGCACGGGCAGGGGTCGCTTCCAGATCTTTAAATTGGATGGGCAGATTGAGCTCCAATTAGGTACACCGCTAGAGACCGGCGAATAGGAAGCCGTCCACAAGTCAATTAACCCTATTAGTGGCAGGCTCCTGGCTACCCCTATTAGTGGCAGGGGGGCTGTTTACGACCCCCCCCCTTGATATCTCGAGATCTAACGGGCCGATTTTCAAAATTCAAACGGCATTCGATTTCGCTCAACGTGATCTACATTTCTAAAAAATAAAATTAAAAAATGTCAATAGGGGGCGGGGGGTAGAGGGGGGTAAAAACGGGCAAATTGCAGATACATTTTAGACTGTTTATCACGGCCAGGTTTCTGAACCAATCTTAACGCAACTTTTGCCGATCGATAGAGAATGAACCAGGAATTCACATGGATCCTAAAAATATGCATTTTCAAAAATCATAGGCGGATACAGATCATTGAGATTGGGGGTACACAAAAAGTATAGTAAATAAGGTTTTTGTTGGTACTGTTTCTAAAAAGGGTGGTAATGGTCTTGTTATGTTACAATTTTCTTATGAGAGAACGACTACAATTGTATTGGTCATGCATAGGCGGTGTCAGGGCACCTATGTTGGGAGGTAAAACATAACCCTCCTTTTTGGACGCCTGGATCCGCCTATTATAGCAAAAACGTGTCAAAAGAGGATGCACAATAACTGTATATGTTATCACATGATACCTTTCATTCACTGTTCGTAAAACTGGTGCAGCATCGTGATCTTCGCCCAAATGACTCGCTTCACGAATAGGACCCCCCAATTCCCAGTGCTCTGGAGCCGCCCCTGGTAAAGTTATGAACTTGAAATTTTCAGGGAATGTGCCCAATTTAGTTTTAGGAAAAGTCAGAAAATTTCAGCATCGTAGCTTCAGCGGTTTCGGAGATATTCCCGAAAAACCTGAGGGGTATACAGCGCATTGCATTACGCAAAACAAAGTAATACATTTTCGGCTGCTATGATAAGACCAGCTGGAGAATCGATATCAACCCGCAACCGCCATGTTTGGCATAACAGTGATAACCTCTGGGGCAACTTGTTGGCACCTTCCCTGAAAATCTAAGGTCTTTGTTATTTCAGGTCAGGTCACAGGTCACTAAAACCGCTGGGTGTGTGTGGTATTGCGGAACAGTATGCATTCAAGCGGTTATATACGTCAGAGGCGGCAATGCGGCACAGCATGCATTCAGGCGTCTGACACTTCTGCCATCTAGCGAGGAAAAAGGAATGTTCAGCTAAGATGCCAGCCGCATTTACCACACTCGGTAACCGGCATGACAAGCTTAAGTGGTTCGGGAATTGATATCGAGAAAGTGGTGCACATGAATCGCGATTGTTTCTAAAAATAGAAAATAGAAAATGACCAGGTGGACAAGGTCACGCGCTGTTTGAAGAATTGAAAATGCAGATGAAGTTGTTTACGCTGCTTCAGGAATTAGGAATTTGACGGTTACGGTTAATAATTGTGCTGTCAATTTCAATAGAGGCGCATACATTACTCGGATTGACGGATTTACACACATATATACAGTTCGTTACATTGATAATTGTTCTATCACTGCATCGGAACTGTTGTTTGTGCTTGGTTTGTTAGAAGACTGGGACGAGACCAGGATAGACACGGTGAGTGAGATGCCGCCGCAGTGTACCATCGCTGTCGAAGCGGCCGATTCTTTCAGCGTATATTATTTTCCGAAAAATAGGTAGGCAATCAATGTTAGTTTCACAAAAAGTCATCTTAAGTTAAAGTCATTATGGTCTGCGCAATGGATTATAAATTTCAGTACGATAACTGATTGCGGTGTCCTAAAAAACTGCGCATCTGAGACAAACGTTGGTTGTTTACAGCTTTGATTCATGTTGCTAGGTGGTTGCTGGGGAGCTAGAGACACCAAGAAAGATCATAATCTAAGCAACATTGCAGCATTTACGGTGTTGTGCAGCGTGTATACCGCATTGCTAGTGAGGGCCGATAAGAATAAGAAAAAGAACGACTTTTGATAAGATTGGTATCGGTTACAAATTCGATACCAGGGCTTTTCTTATCTTTGTGCCATATTCGCACTGATTCTTTGGGTCTTAGGTTGTTTATTTCTTGCGTGATTGCTGTATGGTTGTAGTGTTTTCCTAGAATCAATCATCACAAACATGAAAAACATATATTTCGCGATTAATGTGTCATATGGAATCAACAAGGTACTAGTCTCGATGCCGAGCCTTTGCAGAGACATTTTCTTTCGTTCATTTTACAAAATTTTAGAGATAGAATTTGCCCAAACTCTATTCATCGATTTATACTACAAATGCCCACCGTGATCCTCTTAAATGGCTTCATCGCATATCGATGGAGATGTAAAACGGCAAAACCTACCGCAATGGGAGGTGAAAAACCGCAATATCTCGAAAACCGATAGAGATATTAGCCTCAAATTTGGCATGTACCTGCTCCATGGGTATACAAAGCCTACTTTGGACAAGTTGTCTGATTCCGTGCAATATTCACGTTGATATTGCACGATAAAGGTGGAAAAACTGAAAAGTTTGAGCCGAAATTCATTAAATGTCATTCAAACTAGGCGCAAAAAATGAATGGCACCCACATCTCCTCAAAGTGGACAACAATTCTATGTACTCCGATTTTCCATTTTCTTTTTGCAATGTTGCAAAAAATGAAAGTAAAACTTTGCTCATCTTTCAGTTTTTGTGTGAGGCATAAAATAAAAAACCGGCTACATAGAAATGTGCACAGAACATTTCTTCACACGAAAATGAAGTTTACTTTTCAGAAGTATCTGAACTGTGACTGGAATTAAGCCCGATTCATATCCACTTTTTGACGGTTTTGTTGGTTCAAGGGAGTGCCGCTAGATGTCGTATGGGTCTCCGCCTCGGTCCCTGCCGTTCCCCCATGTAATAAAACCCGCGAGTCGCGCCGACCGGCGGGAGGGACTGTCAACACACGGTGATTTACGGTCTGGGGTTCCCGCGTGTGCCGGTGGCCGTGAAACTCTGCCGGAACAGAAGCGAACTCGGGGTTGTCGGAGGAAAATACGGATGGTGGGTGGATTGAATGAGATTAGTTATATAAGTAGTATATTGATACACAGGTTACCAACTACCAACCTTGGCGCCTATACCTACTTTACCTTCTACCCTAAATAAACATGGGTATTGCATGTGAGCTGTGATGGCATGCTTGAATTTGATTGTGGCCAGTCTGTCTATACGTCAGTAATATTACAATCGCATAGTACCTACTCTGAAGCTGCATTTGTATAACGATCACAATCACAACACGTCGGCAAATAATGTGGTATCGGTATATAGCAACCACATGGTGAAGCTCAAGACCAAGAAGGAAGAACCAGTACTACTATGTATTGTAATACTCACGGAAAGTGATAAAACAGTGCATCAGTACTCAGTAGTTATATATCAGCGATGCATCACACATAAATCCCCAGTATGGCGTCTGCTCTGCTGACACAGTGCAGAGGCGAAGCCAATGAAAACATACCAGTATAACCGGTACATAATATTGCATCCATGGCATGCATTGACATATTGCATTCGTACATGACACGAAACTGACACAGAACAAGGAGCACAAAATGAGATCGGCATGATGCTGAGCGAATGCTTCAGTTTTGACACGATTGCTGAAATTACCTTAGCTGATGCGTGGTCGACATCTGAGCCAATGATATGTTACATCGAATTCTCATTCACTGTTGTGATTCGCTCCCTTTTTTACCCTTTTTGCCATGATGGGATGAGTGACAAAAAAGTTTCAGCTTGTTAGATGTGTGACAGGGCTAGTTGCCTCATCCTGTATGTTTTTTTTTACTTCACGTTTTTGCCCTTGGGCTCCCTATACCTTGACCGCTCACGGAACGGCATGTGTCGTGCTTTGCGGGGATCAATCATTTCAGGCACGATGCACTCATCATAAAATGCCTTCACTTTTTCCAGTCTGTTTGCGATGAACGTTTCGTCAGCAGCTATGCGCTGACATGACGTTTCGTTTGGTGTCCAGACAAAAAAGTCACAGAACTTTGCACCAGTGCAAGCCAACTGGCACTGAACTTGGGTGTAATATTGGTGACTCTTTTTTAGCTCAAGTTTGTCGTCAAGAAAAAAACTAGTTAGTCCACTAGAAGACGCAGCCAGTCTTTCCAGTGAAGTGTTCTCTGCACTTTTGGGACATTTCACTTCTACTATGATGTCATCAGAAACGATTCCATCAGGAGTGGCGGCCAAAAATGGATGCTTCGGGTGCACTACCAGCCCAACTGGTCTTTTCACTTCAGTGTTTGTTTGCTTTTCATATGCTTGTATAGCTAGCTCCTCGTTGACGCGGCCATACTGCAGAGCAGGTGTATCTAAATCTTTTGTTGTATCGTAAAGAAGTCTGTTCATGATGTTTTTGTTTGACGTTGAGTCTCGCATATTCGCTATTTGGTGAAAGGTTGTCGCAGTGACGCGTTTGCGTCGCTCGCGGTGCCACTCTTCCTTGTCATCAGCAGTGTTCTCAGCGATTTGGGCACGCTCCACAGCAGTGCTTCCTAGGTTGTCTAAGAACTCCTTTGTTTTGAGCTGATATTGCTGAATATCGCGGTCCTCTAAGTCGGGTGCTGCACAGCTGGGTCCGTAGTCCCCATCTGTCCCCGCGAGAGAACGCCGGACGTATCTGCTAACCCTTTTGGCCGGATCGTTGGGACGTTGGAGACGTTTCTTTTGAGCGACATTGACATATTTTTTCATGATCTTTGTTGGACTTTTTTGATATTTTTGTTTGAAAACATCGATGTGCATCTGGCTGCCGGACTGGAAGGCTAAAGCTGCTGCGGCACAGCGGTCATGGTACCCACGTTTCTGGTAGTGGTTGACCCGTTTACCGCCGAGGGTTTTTGCCACCTGCGACATCAAGTTTTCTGTTGCTGGTAGACAACAGAAAACTTGATGCCACCTGCGACATCAAGTTTTCTAGGTTGCTGGTAGCGTCGTAAACGACAAGACTTCTACTTTTGTTGCACACAACATCTGCCGCTTTGAGGAGCGAGATTTTCAGTTCTGTAGAAATCTCTGTCTCAGGAGGAGGACATGCCACACTGCCGCTGACTACATTGCAGTAATATGGTAAACATTTGTTGTGGTGTCCTAAAACATGAAAGGAGGCGTTCTTTACATCTGATGACAAGGTACGGGCGCTTTGATCTTTATCACCATTGGATTCCATCCGTTCCTGTGCTCTGTGCTTTATCATTTTTCTGACACATATTTTCATGCGGCTGATCCTGACTTTTGACAAGACTTTTTTGGCTTCCTTGTTTTGTTTGGCTATGTCGTACAGTGCGGAGGTAAAGCATTTCGTGACATGGTTTGCACATTCTACTTTTCGAACGTTTCGTCCATAGGATACGTAGGACAGAATGTTCTTGTATACGGATGAGTCGCCGTCTCCTATGAACTCGATGAATCGCACCCCGTGCATCTCTTCGCTACGGTTGAAGCCCTCAATGATGATGTCTGACTCCATCGCGGTGGACGTCCCCACCCAATTCCGGAAGCACTTATGGGCTGGAGCCCCCGCGCTGCTGCCCGCCCGAGCACACACACTACAGAACTTATTACGCACACCGTAAAACAGGAGCTTTTTGGTGCGCAGACCGATCACAGCTGCCATACCGCCATGTGACGTGTACTTGTGGCCGTGGCTTCGAGTGCCCCAGCTACCGTCCACGACAACAGTAATCCACGGCGTGCCATCAGGGAGGATGTCACCGGCCTCCACCGCCAGGCGCTTCTCCTCCTGTCCGGCGCTCAGCATTTCTTCCAACAGCTTCTGCTCGATCACCTGTCGCATCGAAACAAATAATATTTTGAATGTGGTATTGCAATTAGCAGTATATAAATGATACCTATACGATATATTGGTGATGTCAATTAAAGATAATCGGAATATCGATACCTAAACAAATACCAATCAACACTGTAAGGAAATACCGAAACTGAACCAACTTGAAAACATAAGGGAAGTGCCAACTTTTTACCGATTTCTCAACCTCATACTTGAGTGAGGGTTCATAATACGAACAAAATACCAAATACATTCACATTGAAATACCAAACACCAAGTTGGTCTCGGTTTGGCATCGGGATACCAAAAAGTTTTTTGGGTCAGGTCAAAGGTCAGGTCGCCAGAGGTCATCAAAGGTCAAATGTAGTCCATTTCAACAATTTTGGAAACTGCCAACGGCTAACTCGGGAACCAATGGAGTTACAGCGCCGCGGAAAAGCGCATTCGATAGCCTTTTTACAGACCTTTCTGAATAATACTCTCAGATTTGACCTCAGGTCAACGGTTTAGCCTCCAGAGGGCAAAAACTGTAAAAATAGCAGTTTTCACGAAAATGGTTTTTCGCCAATAACTTTTGACTCGAGAGAGTCACGTCATTACTTTTGGCAGCATCGTGTTCCTCTCGTCGAGACGCGTCGAATGAACTATTTGTTGACCTTAAAAGGTCATTTTGAAAATTTGACCTCAGATCAAGGTCATGACCTGACCAGAAAGGGTCATGTTGCATATCAGTCGACCCGTATCGTCGATCTGAATACAGGTGACGTGTTTTCATCGCTCTAGCACGTCTTTATCAAAAGTTATTGCAAAAAAACTGCTGGTGACCGTTCATGACCTGAGATGACCTCAGGGGCACACAGAGGGGTCACAGGTGCATTTTTCCGATTCAGTGTGTCATGTTTACCAAGGAACCGATGTTTGTGAGGTTTTTGAACATCATTCGTCCAAAAGAGGTGCATTTCAATTTTCTCCCATTGACTTATAATGGAGAGGTCGCAAAATTGACCTGACCTTAGGTCACCGATATCAAACTTCCGAGATATACATTTTGTACATACTGTTAGGTAGGTACTTTTATCAATCGCTGAAAGTTTCAAGGCGATCGTTCAGTCGGTGTAGCTATGACGAGGATTGAAACTTTTTCTGAGGTGAGGTCACTTGACCTGACCTGGTGACCTGACCTTGAGAGCCCTGGGTCTGAAATTTTCACAACATGTGTGGGAAAGATGCATGAACAGGTGTACCAAAAACGGCGGCGCGTTTTCGCAGGGGGGTGTTCAAACACCCCCCCCCCCGGCCCGGCGCGGGTTAATACTATAGTCAGTAAGGTGGATAAGATACGGATACATGATTTTCCGTACCTGACATCACTATAGTTGTTGTTTTTTTCTCTAAGTTTGCCCCTCATTGTAAACAGCTTTTTGAACACAGCACGATAATTGCTAGCTGAATTACTGAGAAAAATGTTCAGCGCACATTGTTTGGAAGTATGAATAGTATTTCACAATAAGTTTTGAACACCGATAATGTATCGCTATGTTAAACGCTGTGCGATTTATTAATTACTTCAGTTATAATTCCTGGTGAATCTTCTTTCCCTGTGGGGTCATAAATAAGGCCAAATACGAGCTCGAGTCCGAGAAATAGGAGCCAGGTAGAAATAATGTTGACGAAGTTGATCGTCTGTGAAATCAATGTGCGCCAACCAGTTTTCTTAGTAGCTAAGCTAGCAATTATCGTGCTGTGTTCAAAGAGACGTTTACAGTGAGGGTCAAGCTAAGAAAAAAAAACGAATTATAGTAGGCACGTATAAAACCTTTATCTCTGAATTTGATTGTGGTGACCTTAAGTCCGGTCAGTTTTGCGCCCTCTCCATTATTATTCGATGGGAGAAAATTGAAAGGGGCATCTTTTGAACGAATGTCATTCTAAGCACTCCTAAACAACTTACAAGTAAAAATGACACACTGAACCAGAAAATGGCAACCGTGACCCCTCCTTACGTCCCTGATATCATGTCAGGTCATGAAAGATATCCAACAGTCTTTCGCTAATAACGTTTGAAAGCGGCATGCCAGAGCAATGAAAACACCTTAGGTGCGTTCAGATCGATGATACAAATTGAACAATATGCAACATGACCTTTACCTTTGGTCAAACTATCAAAATGACCTTTTGGCGTCAAATTAGAGTTAATTCGACGCCTCTCGACGAGTAGAGCACAATGCTGGTAAAAATAAGCTGGTGCACTTCTGCGTTCAAAAGTTATTGCAGAAAACCGTTGCTGCAAAGCCGTCTATTTTGACAGTTTTTGTCCTTTGCAGGCTAACTCGTTGACATAAGGTCAAATATTTGAGGCAATTATTCGGAAAGAGGGTTAACAGGGCTATCAAATGTGCTTTCTGCAACTCTATAGCTCTATTCATTTATGAGTTATGCGCTGATTTGTCAATAATTGTCGAAATAAGCAAAATTTTAGCTTCAATAACCACTGGTGACCTGACCTTAGACATGACCCTAAAATCTTAATTAGTACCTTAGGTATGCAGCTTAGGTAGATAAGGTACTCGCCTGACTTCAGACATTTAAAGTGACACTAACATTTGGTACGGATAATGGCCACTTACCACGCCAACATCTTCCTGGTGCTCGGAGAACTGCTTGAAGGACATGAATGGGATGTCCATGATAGCCATCTGGGCTTCCATGGCCGAATATCCAGATCCTGTAGTAACAGCTGCATACACTGCCTGGCTGTTCAGTGAGATGTTTTCTTGCCTGCCTACGTGTATATCCTCCCCACATTTGTGACATTTGTAACAAAGGAATACAGGGTGTCCCATAATTACCCGGACATTGTTAATTAGCGTATAAAACAAGGTAAACATGATTGCGCTTTTTTCTTTTTACCGTCCTATATAGTCAACTAGGGTGGCTGTGAAATAGCACATGCAATAGATACGCTTGTTACAAGATCAGCCGACAATGATGGAAAATGCCAGCCATTGCTGGTCTCAGTTGTTTTACGGGTCTCCCGAAACTGGGTGTAGGCCTGTTTTCTTTGACCTCTTGCCGGAGGATAATACGATCATACAAGATAAACTTGACATCAAAGTGTTCCCAGGCCATATAGGTGTTATCCCCCAAAACAAAAATTTCTGCCTACGCCACTTTTGCTGCGTTTTTTCCATCTGGAGTGGAGAAGCTCCATGTCTGAACATTGCGCAACCTTTGGCTTCCAACAGATTTGGTTTCCAAAACAAACCCGTTCATGGCCATTTGATTCACGGCATCCAGTTTTCGCACTGGTAGAATATTACCACAGTAGTACCCTGTGCTAACGGTTGTCTTTGGGCCATCATATCAAGCCCAATGAGTGCACGGTGGCTCAAAATGTCTCGCAATTTGATTTTCGACGGGTGCCTGGCCGTCTCTGCTGTTGGGGCGTTGTAGCCATCTGACGTTCACACAAGCCTTTTTCGGGCGGTTCAAATGACATAATACCTTCGTTAGACCACAAAGTGTGCCTCAATATACTGTTGTTGTATATGCTATGTTTTTTGGATCAATTGTAGTGATTTGCGCTGCTTTTCCCGTAGTTTTCGCATATTTTTCTGGCGAAGGACCCCAAATTCCAAAATTTTGTCGAAGATAGTGGTGCAAAGTGGACTGATGTTTTGTAGATAATCCTGATCTATTGTTTAGCTAGTTTTTAGCTAGATCGGTGACGTTTGTTGTCTATGACATGCAACCCCTTGTTTGACAACTGGTGCATGGCCCTTTTTGGCCGAGCCCAAGCTTGTCAATCAGGTTTATATCTTGCTCTCTCTGGCTTCGTTAGCTGATATAATTGCGCTTTGCTCAATCCTAACTGCTTGCAGATGAGTTGCTGAAGCTCTCCAGCAAAAACCATGCCGAAAGTCCGTTTACAAAGTTGAGAACGGGAGTTGATTCACCATGGTTGCCTATTAGTGGCTTAAGCTGAAAACGGAAAAGGACTACTCTTACTTGACACTGGATAATAATTGATTCGAGTCGTTACCGGCCACCAAAAGCACACAGTCCTCAATCTCGATAGCTAAGGGATATCTTATAAAAGTATGATGCTTGTATATCATTAGGAGCGAGCGCAGTCGTACTTTTGGCCAGAAAATAAATGTCCGGGTAATTCTGGGACACCCTGTACTTCCAGGCCTTTTCTCTTTTCGCCCACAAAACTTGGCTGCCAGCAATCCTTGGCATGCGCCATGAGGATATCGATTCCGTTTGTCAGGGCGCCGATATCGACGATCCGCCGTCCCACTGGGGCACTGGGCGCCGCAGCTTCTGACCGTCCGCCCTCAGTGCCGCTCGTCGTCGCCGACCCGGAAGCGCTGCACGGTCCCGACATGTCAGATTCCATGGGCTGACCGCCGGTCTCTCCTCTGCCACCTTGAGCTTCGGTTGATGTCGGTGGTTGAAGCGTGGCTTTGTGGAAATTAGTTCGCCGAGATCGACGGAACTTGCTGTAACGAGCCATCACTAATCACTATGTTCTCACCTTTCTCACCGAACTGGCCTTCCCGAACACTTCCACTGAGCAGTGAGCACAACAGGCGTGGATGCCGCGCGACGGGCGAATGTGGTGAACGCGGAAGTAGTGAGCGCCGAACAGTTGACTTCCCTAGGCCCCATTCGTTTACCATGGCAGCCCCTCCTCAGACGGGGCTCGCACCTGTTTGCTGGAATCCACCACCCGCAGCGTCACCCTCTGTGTCAACACGCGACTCCGAGCGCGACGCGGTGATTTGGACAGCTCGTTTCCGAACAAGAGCGGATCTGTGTGACCCACCCAAGTGGTGGACCGAACGGGGCAGCTAATGGATCACCACCGGCTGACACCACGGGCTGGGGCCGCCCGGAGTCCAGGAACCCTCCGGTCCAGGGGGTTGCTCGGCGGGCTCCTGGCGGGGTCGGTGCTGGCTGACCCCAGTTGCGCGATTGTTGTCAGTTTCGTTTTGATTTCGGAGAGGCGCTTAAATCTAAGTTTATCTTTTGCGATGGATGCATACTAACTTCCACACGGCACCTCAGACCAGGGAATGTTGAAAAATACATTGAATTCGTGCCTGAAGCCTAAGTAAACTAACACTCCATTAGCAGAGCAAAGGCCACCATGGTGGCAGTTCCTGCTCCTGGAACCACCCGCCGCAGTGGGGTCACGACGAAAAAAAGAGCAAGAACAAAAAACAAACGCTGAAACCGTGACCGACGGTCCGTCCTAGGCCGGCGCGTCGCCGACTGCCCCCCCCCCTCCCGCGTCGCTCCCCGCGCTCCCTTCGTGCCTCCCCCGCGCTCCCCGCCCTCTCCGTTATCTATCTCCCACCCTTCCTCTCTTCCTCTATCCCACTCTCCGGCGTCCGTCAGCTCCAGCCCAACGACTCTAAATCGGGTGCCGCTCTAAGTTGTCAGAATGTAAAGGCGAGTGTTTATCAAGCAACCTGAAGTTAGTCGGATACTTGCTACTGCTCAACAACTCCCAAGTCATCTTTCACTCATTCGTTCGAAGCAAGAGTCGCCCCGACGGTAACTCGTCACATCCCGAGACCGCAGATCGAAGGAGAAAAGTTGCTCGGCTCCTGGGCAAGCAAATCATAGTACCAGTAAAACGCCTTTTGGGCGAAGAACGAGCGAGCGAGATAGTGAGCCCTGCAAGTGCGGAAGGGCGTGAGGGTACTTCCAACGGGCTAGTGCAAAGCACCCTTCTAACCGGTCGCTAGCGGTGTGCCAAATTTGAACGCAATCGGCCCAGCCGTTCTTGAGATCTGGAAGCGGCATTCTGCACGTGCGCACGTGCAAACGGGGTCCAAACTCCAAACTGACTTTTGCACGGCACCCTTCTAACCGGTCCCCAACCGTGTACCAAATTTGAGCGCAATCGGCCCAGCCGTTCTCGAGATCTGGGAGCGCCCCCTGGGCCCTGCACGTGCGCACGTGCAGTAGCACCCTAACCGCAACACATGGGAATGCATTGCCTGGTGGGTGCCTACCTGTATGTCAAGTTTCAGCGAAATCGCCCCAGTAATTACAGAGTTATTGAAATGGGAACAAATTTGGCACCTCTTCTTTTTGCATTTTGCACGTGCAGTGGAGGTCACTCACATAGGTTAAGAGTATTCGACCTTTGGTAGAAAGGATGCAGCTACCCTACAAAAATTACCGCAAGACAATCGCCCAAGTGGCTGCTGAGATATGAGCCTCTCAAAATTACTACTTTTGCAAAACAGCTTGAACACCCTTGACTTTTCACGTGGCACGTGCCACGACGGTCACTGAGATGTATCAAAAGTGGTCAATTACGGGGTAGAAGGGATGGGGCTACCCAGCAAAAAAGACCCCATGCCAATCGGTCCAGCGGTTGCTGAGATATAAGCCTCTCAAAAGCGTTACAGGCCGGGCCGGGCCGGGCCGCTCATACTGATATTTTTCCGTTATATTGAAAAGACTTCGCTTCGCTCGCTGCGCTCGCTCGCTCGTAATCACTAGGGCTGGGTACCGAATTGTCATGCAAACCACGACCCCGGACGATTCCAACTCCGAAACCCTGGTATTTAGGACACTGTATGCTGTTGTGCACTCTGTGACTGAGGTCACGGGCGGCGTAAGCCGACTCCAAATATTGACGATAGGATCCATTTTCTGCTTGACCAGTTGGAGGGAGTCAGTTATGGAATGGACGGAGTGGATGGCGTCCGGGAGGGGAGGGGGAGGAGGTAGAGCACTGGCAGTGGCACTGGAGAAGCAAGTTAAATAATCAATCATCCCTTCCATAAGACGTATAGCAGCCGTTTGAAAAAAGGTGGATGGTTGGTAAGCATAGATATTTCTGTGAAGTCCCCAAGGAACATATTACATGGTTGCTAGCAGTCAATAAAATGCAGCTTGCTATAAAAGCAAGCAAGCATACCAATGCCTCGTTTACCTATACGTAAAATTGATATTTTGTAATATTTGTAGTTTGTACCTACTTCCAGTCCAGAGTCTACTTGATATAATGAAGTTATGCGCATGGGGCTTAGCTTCAAACGACTTGCTTTCAAATGAGAAATAGATGAGAAATGGAATACGAATCTTCCAGCTCATAGTCTGCTCCATTAAAATAAGATTGTGCGCATGGGGCTTAGCTTTAAATGAGAAAATAGATGCCCAACTTCCCGTTGTTGTTACGCAGCGAGCGAAGCAAGCGAAGTCGTTTCAATATAACGGATAAATCTCAGTAAGAGCGGCCCGGCCCGACCCGGCCCGGGCTGTAACGCTTTTGAAAGGCTAAAAAAAAAAACTCAGCAACCGCTGGGCCGATTTACTTGCGGTAATTTTTGTAGGGTAGCTTGATTCCTTCTACCAAGTATTTGACTTGTTTCGATGGATGTGGGTGACCCCCTATGCACGTGCCACGTGCAAAACGAAGAGGAGTCATTTTTGTAACAATTGCAATATCTCGGTAGTTACTGGGCCGATTGCGCTGAAACTTTGCATGTAGGTAGGCAGTAGGCACCCACTAGGCAATGCATTTTCATGTCCCACAGTTCATGTGGGGTGCTGCTGCACGTGCGCACGTGCAGGGGTCGATTCCAGATCTCGAGAACGGCTGGACCGATTGCGCTCAGATTTGGTTAGCGGTTAGGGATCCGTTAGTAGGGTGCCGTGCAAAAGTCAGTTGGGACCCATTTTGCACGTGCGCACCTGCAGGGTGCCG